GTTCCCCGATCTTTCTAGAACTCATTACGTGTTACCAGCGTCACGTGACTTCCGCTGTCGTAACAATATTAATACATCGCGGTGTATTAAATATGTGGGAACAGTTTTAAGATAGTTTTAATAGTATTAGGTTGTTCTTGGCCTTAAGAAACCACTGTTAAACAAACAAATCAAATTTATTTTGGATTTTTTTTAAATTCCGCATAAGTATAAAATTATTAGATTTTGTTAAAATGTGTTCTTTTTTCGAAAGTTTGTTTGTTGAATTTCGTGTAAAGTTACTCGAGGGCTATCTACGCTAGCTGTCTCTAACTTAGAAGTGATAAACAAGAGGGAAAGCGATTTGTCAACACTATAAACTCTTGGGCTACTATAATGGAAAATTGGATTCACCATCACATCATATCACCCACACGGTTGAAAGTCGAGCAACCCGAGCCACCAGGCCTTCTTTGAAAGATACATAAGTTAGAATACCTCAAAAACGTACGTTGCAGAAATATTGTAGTGTAACATTATTGAAGATGCGGCTAAGTAACTGTTGCAATATTCTGGAATCTAGAACATCACACTTGGCTGTAATTTAGGGGAGGAACATATTTTTTATCCTATCACTGCTTACCTCTTGTTTTAACTTTAATAAACCCACAGTATATCATCTGTCTGCCCTCGTAATAATTCACGCAAACATATCCAAAAGTTCGTCATTCAGCTTTTTGTTTTTGTTCATCTTTAGCGTTTTCAACGGTTATAAGTGGAGAAAGGTAAGTTTTGAGCGCTTCCGAATTTTGAACTTTCAATAATGTTATGATTTATACTGTTTCAGTAACAATCTTTTTAATTAGTTTATTATCAGTTTATAGATATATTTAACCTTAAACTTCTCAACTCAAATTTAGGTTAATATTTGGTGTTTCAAACCTAAACGGCACCCAGTGCTACGCATGGGGTAAATGCCAAGGTCAGAGAAAGTTCATACATAGTGAAAGCTCATACATAGTCGTCCCTAAATATTGAGCTGCTATCCAAAGGGAGATCAACCAGCAAGAAGCATCCAACGCCAATACGATAACTCTTAATAGAATAGCGATATCGGCAGTCTCTTCTGTAATGTCCCCACTGCTGAAAGTACGGTGGATGTTTAATAGCACATCTTGGGGCTCGAGCCTTGGATCATTTGATCCACAGCCCGGCACACTAATTACTAGGCCACGCCTAGTTCAAACTTCCATTGAATGTTGTCATAATCGCGGTAAAATTCATTGATGGTATATATATATAATATATATATATATTATTTTTTTATTCCTGTAAACTCCCAGTGGAGCATAGGGCCGCAA